TTTCTCTAACTCCTTTCAGCAAATTTCCGACAAGAGGGTGAACGGGTCCTTGACCACAGCTTCGTTCTTGAAACCATCATTAAATTCTTTGTAAATCTCCACAAGGATTCTCCCGAATTTAGAGACTTCGCCCTCTCGTCTGAGTGGGTTCGCCTACATTTATCAGCCGTTTATCCTGTGATCGTCAGTGCAAACGCAGTGACGCCAGAGGTGGAACTCAATTCGGGAAACTCGGCCCTGAACTTTGACGGAAGCGACGTTATAATACGACCTCTTTTTGGTGGTTCTGCGCCAACACCCATCGTACGGACAAGTAGCGTGAACCTGGCCCCCTCGCCCCAGTCCACACCACCCAAAGGAACCCCTCTGCGTAGGGCTTCGTCTTTCGTCCTGCTCACAGCACAGAAATCTCAACAGTCTCTGCCCGATGAGCGACTAGTACTTGCTCCTCCAAGTACGCAGGGACAGAAACCTGGTGTGTTACTAGACGGCCTACTGAGTCTTGTCACCAGAGTCTTCATGGACCAAATCGTAGCACGAAAGGAGTTCGCTGGGTTTGGGCTGTTCACGAAGGTGCCTCCCGGTTTTCAGGAACACCATGCCTATTTCGAATCCTTCATCTTGCGGAAAATGATACATGAAGTTTCGAAATATATACAGGCCAACCAAAAGACTATCTGCGAACCCCGATTTTTGACGAATCTTGGCCGTTTTTGCGTTCACCTGTCAGAAGCGATTTTTGAGGGTTGGTTTCTCAATGGGGCCGAGTCCATGATTGATTTTATCGGCATGCTACTTGAATTTTTCGAACGGCCTGATGTTGCATCCCTCAAGAGCGTCCGGCTTTGCCACCAGGCCTTGTCATCAGTCAAAAGTTGCTTCCTGAGAATAATTCTTCTCAAGCTATCTGACCTCGATAGCACCAAAGTGACCGAACAGGAAGCCAAAAAGTTCATCGATAAAATGGCGTATTGGCAAATGGCGATCCTGAACTGCCTGACCACCGAGGACGATTACCCAAAGCTCTTTTGGTACCAGTTGTACTCTAGGCTTGTTGATGATAAGAGATCAGTCCGAATCGGTGCGACAAATTTCATGCGGGTTATTCTCGTACAGAAGCCTGAGGAGTCTCATGCGCTTATTCGATCTTGTATGCTACCAGACCAGAAAAAGCTCACCGACGACTTTCAAAAACTTACGGAGAGGGACGATGAAACATTTCTTCTCTGGGTTGACAGGAACCGTCTCTCCCTGGATATTCTCTTTCTGACCACTATGGCCAGAACATGGGAGGACTTCGTAGCTGCCGAGAATCAGAAGACTACCGAAACAGCCAAGTCAAGAGTGTCAAAGAGGAAAGACAAGCTCAAGCAATGGCACCAGGAGAACCTCTCTAACGATAAAATTCTGTTCAATCACGAAGTGGGCAATGGTGCGTGGATGAAGAGCATCTATAGTTCAGAACACTTCAAATATCAACGCTTAGCGCAGGATCAGCAGGATGATTTGGCTTTTATAATCCCCGCGTGGAAGAAGATGGAGAGGGATCTGCGCCGACCTGGAGCTGTGTTCAGTGACCCAACGGCAACCGTGAGGTGGAAACTAGATCGGACAGAGGGTCGCAGCAGGATGAGACTTCGACTGCTACCTGATTATTCGAGTAATGAGGTCAAGTATCAACCTAAGGGCCAGGGCTCGAACGTACCACAGCTTCACGTTAACACTACTGTGAATTCGCTTGATGGACCGGGATCTGATCCATCCTCGCCGAAAAAGAAGTCATCGGCTGGATTAACTGAGCCTGACCCTGCATCTACCACGGCAGACCAGGAACAGAACGAATCGGGAATCAACCAGGAAGATGATTTCGAACTCGTGGATGATCCGAATGAGCCAATTGAGGGAGAGGATGGGTTTGAGGACAAGAATCGCAAGGTCATGAGGCGCTTAGAACACGGAGATCAGGTTCAGGCCGCCTATAACATCTCTCGCATTACTGGGCTCGAAGCTTGTGAGGGCATTCTCATTATTGGAAAGGACGCACTTTATATCATGGACAACGTGTTCCAATGTGCAAATGGCGACATTGTCAACGTTTGGCAAGCCCCCCCGGAGGAGCGAGACCCTTTCACCCAAGTCGTTACTGGTGCTAAGACCATGGAGAAGCGTCAAAACGCTGGCAATCGAGAGCAAGAGTCTAGACACTGGAAATGGCACGATGTTATCAGCATCTCGAAGCGCCGATTCCTTTTCCGCGATGTAGCTATCGAAGTATTCTTCACTGACGGACGAAGTTATTTGCTGACGCAAATCAACCCTTCGGCCAGAGACGAGCTGTTCCTGAAGATGCTGAACAAGGCGCCGCATACGAGCACCGTTAGCGCTCTGCCAAACCCTGAGGACGCTTGGAGATTGGAAATGCTCAAAGTTGTGGACGAGCAGCCGCAAGGTCTTGGATCTCGGCTAGGAACCCTATTCAATTCCACACCATGGACTCCGATTATGAAGAGCTGGCAAAAGGGAGAAGTGTCCAACTTCCACTATCTCATGATGGTCAACACTTTGGCGGGCAGAACATTCAACGACCTCACTCAATATCCGGTATTCCCATGGATCATTGCTGATTACACCAGCGATGAGCTTGACCTACAAAATCCGGCAACCTTCCGTGATCTGTCGAAGCCAATGGGAGCACAATCACAGGAGCGAGTCCAACAGTTCATGGAGACGTACAGCGCGCTGCAAGGAATCGATCAGGAGCCCTTCCACTATGGGACCCATTACTCCTCGGCCATGATCGTATCATCCTACTTGATTCGCCTCCCGCCGTTTGTCCAGTCTTATCTTATGGTACAAGGTGGAAATTTCGACCATGCGGACCGGTTATTCCATTCTATTCATGAGGCTTGGGATTCTGCTTCTCGAAGGAATAAGACTGATGTACGAGAACTCACCCCGGAGTTCTTCTGCCTCCCGGAGTTCCTAACGAACATGAACGACTATGACTTTGGTCGTCGGCAAAGCAATGGCGTCAAGGTTGACGATGTTATTTTGCCACCCTGGGCAAAGGGCGATCCCAAGATCTTTATCGCCAAGCATCGGGAAGCCTTGGAGAGTCCTTATGTCAGTGAGAATCTTCATCACTGGATTGACCTCATCTTTGGATATAAGCAGCTGGGCGAGGCAGCAGTTGAAAACCTGAATGTGTTCCATCATCTGTCGTACTCTGGAGCGAGCGACCTTGATCGAATTACGGATGCTAACGAACGAGCTATCACTGCTGGTGTCATCCATAATTTTGGGCAAACTCCTCATCAAGTCTTTACCAAGGCACACCCAGCTCGAGAGACGGTTAGATGCCCCATCCGAAGACTTGACACATCTGTGTTCTCTTTGCGATGCCTTGCCAACCCACTTTTTGGTATGTATTTTGCTTGGATGTCGAGCTGATATAATCTGATATTGGACTATCCATTTACTGATGATGAACAGAGAGCCGTGAACGAGTAGCATCCTTGATATACTCTCCGAAGCTGGACCGATTACATTTCGCATCTCCGTTTCGAATTAATTTCCCACCGTGGGACAAGTTTCTCGAATGGGGATATGCCGATAACAGCATTCGCTTCTTCCATCATGACAATCGCAAGGTGAGCTCCCAAAGCTTGGAAGAGACAAACTTGGGGGAGAGAATCAAGTGTACCGGTGCTGATATTGTGTAGTTGGCCGGTCTTTTCGAGAACCTTCATATTGGGCAAATCTCATGTGCAACCTTTGCTGATTCGAAAACACTGATTACTGCCGGAGAGGATTGCGTCATATCCGTCCATGGAATCAAGACTTCACCTGGCAAGCCCGTGGAACTGGTGCCCAAGTCTAGCCTGTTTGGCCACAAGACTCCTGTGACCACGATCGCAGCAAGTAAAGAATTTAGTACATTCGTGACGGTCTCGACTGATGGTCAGGCACTGCTTTGGGATTTGAACCAGCTTGCGTTCATCCGGAAGCTACCTTTGGTTCGACCGGTCGAGGATGCCAAAATCAACAACGTCACGGGAGACATTCTCTTGTGCTCTGGCCCGAACGTGTTGCTCTATACGCTCAACGGGACCCTAATCCTTGACATGAAAGTTTGCTTAGATCAAGATGACTATGTTCACAGCTGTGCCTTTTACGAAGGTGCGGCGAATGAGTGGCTCGAGGATCAGCTCATTTTTACTGGCCATCGAAAGGGGCGAGTCAGCATCTGGCGTAAGAGCATCATGGGTGGGAAATGGGCTTTGGAGCTACTGAGGAGACTTGAGCACATTGACCGAAACAGCGAGAAGGGGGAGAACGTGGAAGCTGGCATCACCTGTATCAGCCCCATGCCGACATGTGTCTACACAGGTGATGAGGATGGACGAGTGGTAAGTAGCCCCCTTTCTTTTGTACCCTTTGTTGACTTATAGAGGCTAACAATCATCCTAGTATGAGTGGAATTTTGGTGGTAAGGAAAGATAGAGTCTGAGCTTACCGAGAAAACTCACCATTCGGGGCAGCAGCCGGCGGACATCTGCCAAGATAATGTAAGAAAGATTCAATGCAGCTTTCCAACTTCAAACGTTGCACAATGAGCAATGGTTGGATATGGAATGAAGCATGGGGGTGTGGCGTCTGGGGGAAAGATCATATATAGACCAGCATGTGTAGCTTTGATTGAATTTCATGCATTTGACAGAGTAAATCATTGTTTGGATCATACTAGTACCGTGAATCGAATAGAAACCGGTTCAGAAACGTATGAATTGTAAGTTTGTTTTTGTATTTGATCACAATAATTCTGGGTCTTGTGCCCTCAGTTCCCTATGTCAGAGGCCCTGGAACGCCCTAGATGTACAAAATCTCCTAATTGATGGCACACTCTCCTCAGCGGCCGTCCAAATTCCCGGTCTCTTGAGCCTCTCGCCTCTCGCCTTTCCCAATCTATCCCGTTCCTTTCATTTTTCGTTCCGGCCGGCTTAGTCGTCGTAGCCGCTCAGTTGCTTCCTCGGGCCGGAGGGAACTATAGAGTAAGCTTGTCAGTTTTCGAGTTCTCCTGGAGACATCCTTATGGCGTTCCCTCATCGGCAAAGGCGTGTTCCTCTCGCCGAGGCCGGTATGGGGATCGAGGGGAATATTACCTGGGTAGGTGGTCGGCACGGGCTTGGGGTCAATGTCGCCAAGGTAGTGTCGAATGGGAGGGACGATGGGCATCAGGGCAGGGCCGGTGGCGCCGATGACGACGGACCAGAAGAGGGCAGGGCGCTCGCGGGCTGCCCATCGGCAGTACTTGAGGGGTGTGGACCAGAAGATGGGCGTGGACATGGTGAGCGGCTTCTCTTCTGTCGGTTGGGGGGTTAGCAACTGAGACCGTGGGCGTGTGTATGGAGCGCGTAGGATTGAGGGAGGAAGGCGCGCACTCAATTGGATCGGGGACGGAGGGTGGGAGGCGAGGCGGATGTCCTCTTTTCGCTGGTGACGGGCTGAGGGAGCTCCGGTTGGTGATTATTGTGTTGAGGTCAATTGGGAGGATGAGAAATCCGGAAGAATGACTGGTCCGGCTGGTCTGAGGACCCATAATTTCGGGGAGCGATGTGGCTGCCGTCAAAGGACTCATTCTTATCGATAACAGGTCGGGGGAGTTGGAGCTGGTGAAGTAGTGGCACCAGAAGCACTCGGAGGTGTCTGTGCCAGGGACAGCAGTGGAGCAGCTTTCGGGTTAAAAATCGCGAAAGAAACAAAAGGTGAGATCTTTAATCATGCGTTTTTCAATTGAAAGATTCCAATTAATTAATAGACTGATGCTCTCTGGCTCTGCTGTAGCAATTTGGCTGTGTTACAGAACCAGCGCTCACAGGTGATGACATAAGACAGCAGTACGTAAAGTGGTACGCACTCTCAAGGCACTTCGAGCTACAGCGGTGGTTTGGAGATTGATTCTGACCCCACATAATATTTCCCCACGCACCAATGAGAGACATCCACGGAACCCGTTCCAAGGCTCCCCAAGCTGTCGGAAGCTCTCGAGCATCTCTCCATTGATCAACCACAAGAGCGAGCAATTCGGTCACGATGCGGTCGTTCCTGGGCGTTGTTACCTTCTTATTTACTGCGGTTGCCTCCGCAGTCAGCACAAAAGGCAATCGCTTGTTGGTACTGCTCGACGATGTTGCCGAGAAAGATGGCTACGCCAAGTTTCTAGGCGACTTGACAGGTAAGCTTGATGCTCGTGCTGGCGATGCGATCCGCTGGCATTTTGACTGATTAATCGCAGCGCGTGGGTACCAAATCGTCTACGACACTCCCCGAAGCGAGCAACTGTCACTCTTTGAATTAGGAGAGAGGCAGTATGACCATCTGCTATTCCTCCCGACCAAAGTGAAGGGTAAATGATATTGGCCTACCTTGAAAGGCCCCTTTGAGGGCCGCGACAGCAGTGCTAACCACACCTTGACACCCAGGCCTTGGTCCCAAACTCACACCCAACATCCTGATCGATTTCGTAAACGCGGAAGGAAACATTCTTGTTGCCCAATCGTCAACCCACTCCGCATCCACCTCGATTGGAAACTTCCTTGCTGAGCTCGACATCACTCTCCCCGCTGGGCGGACTGGTCTTGTTGTCGACCACTTCAACTACGATACCATCACCGCTTCCGAGAAGCACGATGTTCTCGTATTGGATGCGCCCGAGCCTGTGCGCGACGGCGTCAAGTCTTTCTTCTCGCCTTCTGCCGATGCCGTCCTGGCCCTGCCAAACACTGTCGGACACACTCTCGGTGGCGGACATCTTTTGACCCCCGTTCTTCGCGCGCCTTCGACCGCCTACAGCTACAACCCTAAGGAGCAGTTTGATGCTGTCGATGCCGATGACCTCTTTGCTGCCGGAAAGCAGCTGAGCCTTGTTTCCGTCTTCCAGGCCCGTAACTCGGCCCGCGTGACAGTTCTTGGCTCGGCTGAGATGATCCAAGACCGCTGGATTGAAGCCAAAGTTTCTCGTCCCAAGGGCAGCAAAGTTACTGTTGCCAACAGAGAGTTTGCCAAGGCTCTTACCGGATGGACTTTCCAGGAGCTTGGTGTTCTGCGAGTCAACGAGGTGGAGCACCACCTGACTGGCGATAACGAGACCAACCCTGGCATTTACCGTGTCAAGACCGATGTGGTAAGTTGACAAGCAAGACGACTGAATTAGATCTTTTTTTTTCGAGGGGATGTTGAAGCTTACTTAACTGCCTCCAGACATACGGTATCTCGATCTCCGAGTACGCTTGGGATTCATGGAAGCCCTACAATCTCCCCGAGAACGATGCCCTCCAGCTCGAATTCAGCATGCTCTCCCCGTTCCACCGCCTCGATCTCTCACCCGTCTCCGTTACCAAGGATGCCACCGTCTTTGGTACCTCTTTCATCCTGCCCGACCAGCATGGTATTTTCAACTTCCGCGTAAACTACAAGCGCCCATTCCTGTCTGTCGTTGACGAGAAGCACACCGTCAGCGTCAGGCACATTGCCCACGATGAGTGGCCTCGCAGCTTCGTCATCTCTGGAGCTTGGCCTTGGATCAGCGGAATCGGCGCCACCGTCACTGGCTTCGTCGCCTTCTGCGCCATCTGGGTTTACAGCAAGCCCACCCCCAAGGCTGGAAAGGCAAAGAAGACTCAATAGGATTCGGATCTTCGAAGGAAGGGGAAAAAATACCGTACCGGAAATGGACGATTCCGGGTATGAAGCCTGGAAGGACAAGTTAGGGAATAGATTTGGGGGTTCAGAAGAGCAACCCTATGAACGCTCTCGTGGGGGCGATACATGTAACTTAGAGCAGGCATTTTATGGATGATCTGTAATTTTATGTTGTTAAATTTATTCTTGTTGCGTTTGTGACAAAATCTTAAGGTGCGCTACGTATGAGGATTAGTTTGGGATAATATGTGAGGCTAGCTCGAATCTTCGCCTCTTCTCATTGTGCTTCTCGAACAGTTAATGACCTAATTTTGAATTTGAATTTCCTCTAATTATTACCATCATACAGAAAACTGCCCACCATAGTGCCCTCAGATTAGCTCTCTTGTGTTCTCACTGACAACTCGCGCGGACTTGTGCTAGGGTCGAAGAGAACTTCCTCAACCCTGTTGCGCTGTTGTCTGCAAATTTGGCTTTTTGGACACATTTGATCATCACCAGGCTGGTGCTTCGGCAGTCTCCCTCCTTGGTCTCCATGTTTCCCAACGCTCCTACCGCCATTGGTCACCATCTCCATCAGTCCACTCCAAACCCAAGCCTGCTCCGATTGAAAACTATTTTGAATCAGTTCTTCATGAGCTACATCTCTGCCCTTGATAGAGTCGAGAGACGTAGTTGCTTCAAACATGCATGTTGTCTGTCACTGCGGCTGCGAAAGGGTTAGTGAGAACCGAGGAACGGCATCCGCCTTGCGGTAAGGGAAGAGAAGTCATGGCAAGGAGGAAGTCATGCCAGAAGGAGTGTGTTTGCTCAGATTTCTGTTCTTCGTATGAAGTGGCTCATTCTACCTTTCCATGATCCGGTTCTGCAAGAGCAGACCCTGGGTGGAGAGAAGTTACCAAGCTCTGATGTGATCATCTATCATCATTGCAAAATAGAGGTATAGAGTAGCTGGAAGTTAGTGAAATGGAGTCCGTACTGATCTGAGGTAAGTTAGCAATCAACGGAATTTTTGGAATAGCAAATGGTTGGAGCGGATGAAGTAGCGGCGACTGGGAAATGCGCCATAGGCCAAAAGTGAACATCTCTTGAGGACTTCCTCAGAGTTTTAATCGAGACTTGTAGTAAAAAACCAAGTAACACGCGAATGAATGGGTTCCTCCAGGATGATGAATGGGGCAACGGTCAAGTTCTGGACGCGACGGAAAATGACAGGGCGCGTGTGTGTTAAGCCAAAGGATCCGAAGGACGATCAGTTCTCAGAATAATGAGAGAGGAGAGAAAAAAAGTCCAAACACCCCAGTGCCAGGAGACAAACAAGCAGGTACGTGGCTCGTCAATTAGCATGGCAAGGAAGGTGTGAACAACGCGTTGAATTGGGACAAGGAAGGAAAGAGTTGCCTCGAGGCGATGTGGGTCCGGTGATAGTTGTGGCGCAAATGTGTGGCGCACTTTGGGCAGGCACGCGAGTCTGAAATATTAGCAACAAATAATCTCCCAAGCAGCTGGTTCAACTTCGCATCTGTCCTCATATATCGCCTTCTCAGACAAGTTCTTCGCTCCCAGGTCGGCAAAATGGTACGTATTCGACATCTATAATTCTCCAAACATGCGCTAACTTATTTTCTATAGGCTCGAAATTCAGAAAAGGCGCAGTCCATGCTGTTTCGCTTCCGAGAAGCACAAGCAGCGGACTTGGGAATTGTCGACGCCGGCCGGTCGCGCCGGCCGAAGCTCATCACCGAAGTCGATACCGTACCTGCATGCGAGAAATGGAGAGGCCAGGTGATCAAGGAGATCTCGCGCAAGTCGTCGCGGATCCAAGAGTCCGCCCTCAGCGATTACCAGATCCGCGACCTCAACGATGAGCTCAACAAGCTGATGCGCGAAAAACACATGTGGGAAGTACAAATACGAAACTTGGGAGGGCCCAATTACATGCGCGGCCGAGCCAAAATGTACGACGAGCAGGGCCGAGAGATACCAGGTGGTGGGAAAGGATACAAATACTTCGGACGGGCGAAAGAGCTCCCTGGTGTGAAGGAATTATTTGAGGCTGCGCAGTCTAAGGCACAGGATGAAAAACCCCTGGAGGACAGGAAGGAATTGCGAAAGGTTGTGGATGCGGCCTATTACGGTTACGCCCCCAATGAGGAGGATGAGGCATTGCTCGAGTACGAGGCCGAGAAAGAGAAGCTGGCTGTAAAGAACCTCCTCAAAACTGGGGCCCAGGATGCTCCCGAAGGATGGGTTTCGTTACCAGGCAATGCGGGAGATGGTCGAGCCTGGGAACTACCGACGCTCGAGGAGGTGCAACAAGAACTGATTGAGCGGCGAAGACAAAAGCTACTTGACCAGCTCGGGTCGTGATAGTATGCTCTACAAAGGCCATCTACTAAGATTCCTGGCACGTTGATTCGGATCGCCGCTACGAGTTCCAGCCCATGCTGAGAATATCGTTCTAGGATATCGGTAAGCCTGATGGACTGCGGGCCTTTACACTCCGTGAGACACACATGGGTATCAGCTTGTGTCAAGCATCCCACGACACATGGAGTGTGTTCGTTTCACCCCGCGGATCTTCCACATGAATGTGGCTTAGTTGTGAATCACGGGCATGCACACCCCGAGCGATACGGTGTCAGTAATCGGTGAGCTGAAGGAATATTTGACGACGCGCAGCATGCATTGAATGGGTGTTTGGGAGTCTTCTACTGTTTCTAAATGTTTTATATGTCCCTAATTTTCCTCTGTCGGAGGCCAAGGATGGAATTGAGTACGGCGTTAGGACGATGATCTATTTTTGCTTTTCACGGCATCCGGTAGTTGGGCAGTTGTCTCCTTGGGAATAAGTAGCCAATGATGGATAGTCAAAGAGACACCCGAGTCCTTGGCATTTGCCAATATTGAAGTGAATCGTGATTTAAACCAAACTGGTTAATCGATCGTGGTGGAGGAGCGGATAGCTTGTTCAAATCTTACGATCTATGTGAGATGAGCGTCCTGGAATTAGATGCTTGGCCCATATTGAAACATATTCGGAGCCAAGGAAATACCGAACTACCTACCCTTGGGGTAGCTAGATTAAATTCAGGTTGCTCAGGTCAGAGAAATATCTTTTGCTGCGCCTTGATTCATATAGACCCACCACATGTATAAGTCTATACCTACGGAGTGCAATAAGTAGTATGACAAAAAGCAAAGTTGCGAATATGGATAAGGGCATAAATTCGGCTTCTGTGACCTGTGGGTGTCCCAGATATCTTGGCCCCTGGAAGATGGTTTGCAATATACTCAGGTGTGGCTGAGAATACGATGTAGGCAACACGTTTGAAGCAAATGTGTTTGATCCAGTCGTATTATGATGGCGCCAGGTGCTAGCAATGCAACCTTGGCGATGACGGCAATGGCGGGTGGAATGTGGGAAACATACATAGTATGTGGATAGCTGTATGTAAGGAATCAGCCGCTTTGACATAACATGAGTGAGGCGCACAAATACATAGGCATTCGGGATGCTGGACCCGGCAGTCTTCCGGGTGTTTAATAATAGGAATAACATAAAATAATGGATCCATGGCGAAAGGTTAGCACGACGCTGGCGCATTTTCAATCCGTGACACACCCAAGCTGGTGCTGAGAAGGAAGGAATACGAGCTAGAAAGGCTGAGAGCGCCTCGAGCCTGAAACCGCGGAGGTAGTGAACTATCAAGCTGGAACTGCCAGAGTACTGCTACGTTGTGTATGTAAGCGTCTGCGGAATTGATGCGTACACGGAACATTGTCTGTGCCTGCAGCCGGGAGGCCCCCCTTTTCCCCTGATCCCCCAGAGGGTGCGCCACAGCGATCTAGCTCCGAACCGTACGTTGCTTTGTGTGACTCTAGGACGAATAACTGGGTTGTCTAATTAGCCCATCTTGAAGTGGTGTGTTGCCTCATCCAGTCGGAAGACCCGACCTCGATATTCATGCAAGCCATTGTGCCTCTGCCAGCCAATGCGATTGAGGCAGCTGGTCCTCGAGTCTGACTGTCGCGAAGGCTCATGGGACCGACTGTGATCCAGCGCCCTAGGGCTGTTCTGCCACTGGCTGGTTTGAGCGCGTGCATGCAGGTACTGTGCCGCGAAGCCTGTGCTCTAGTCAGGTACCGTGCAGGATCGTCATCAAACACGACCCCGCCAGCGCCAACTTAGTCGGATTTAGGTTCGATGGCACCGAGGCTTGTACACACCCATCATTGTTCCTACCTGCTGGTACCTCACTCCAGATCCTCCATGTTGCTCTATATGCCAATAGCCCGTGGGCTATAGTAGACGGATGATGGACGGCTGCATGGCTCCAGAAGCAGAAAGACCAGCAGTCCAGAATGGCACCTTCCTCCTGAACATCGTTCGTTTCACAACGAGCAGCTTCTGTGCCTCATTGTGATTGGCGATGTGCCATTTCAATGAATTGGCACCCGACTCCTTGATCCTTGCTTGCTTTTTTGGACGCCCAAATGGCCGGGGTCCCTGGTGGCTTTCCTTCCTTTCATCCTCCACTTGCTGTGGGCTGGCTCCCGCACTGACTGGTGCATTCGAGAGCACCCAGCCAAACCCTCCTCTAGACTCCATCGAGTTAGGTGGCTCAGCTACTGTGGAATCGAACATTAGGGGATGTTCGCCTCCTTCTGCTCCTCCTTTCTAGGCAGGCGCGAACCAACGGCGCACCTATTTGGGGTTCTCTCTTTATTAGCAACCATCCTCTGGAAGACCTCCGCTCTCCTTCTTTTTGCTCTGGTCTGACGACGGCCATCTTTGCTTGCGCCTTGCCTCTCACGTTCCTTACTGGGTCTTGTTGATTCTCGACTCCTTTGCGCTCCTTTCTCCTGGCTGGAAGCGATCAACTCTGGACTGAAGTGCCGTCCCGTAGTCCGGCGCCCCACCAAACACCACCCACCACAACACCACCCCCGGATGGGATGGGATTTGCTGCTGTGAACCCTGATCGCCCCCTGACTCTGAAAACGGTGTTTTCGACCTACAAGTGCACTGCGCACCGCAGACCCTGATCGCGACGAAACACACGAACTGTAACCCCGGTATATTACTCGGCCTTGTTCGGCTCAGCTCACATCTCATGGGCATTCCGTCTTAGTCCTTCTTGCTTGCCAACGAATTCCGGTCAACTACTTGGCTCAGCCCTTGCTATTCAATTTCCCCATTACGGCGCGCGCTGGCTCTCTGCGAAGTAATCATTTAATGTTTTTGCTAAATTTTTGATTCCTCCTCTCATCATGGTGTCATTCTTTGGAATCAAGCTCGGCGGGAAAAAGAGCCAGTAAGTCTTTATTGCTAGTCACCTTTTACCGATGTAGCATACTAATATACTGTCTTTGCTCTAGGAAGAAGCAGGAAAAGACCAACCAGAGGCAATGGAAGAAGGGAAACGAATGGTCCTTCGCCGAGGACCAATTCTACGGCCACGAACTTGCGAAACCTACGCTGCCCCTTTCAAGACCCGGCACATCGCAATCAAGCCACAGCAGCCATACCAGCTTTCGTCCACCTTACGCTAACAATGGAGCATCTTCATCTATGGTCGACCTCTCAAACTCGGCCCCAAGGCCAATAGCGACAAACCTCCGGCCTATATCTTCGAATCCCTCCCTGAAAGGAGGAAGGGTCAACATGTCAAGTCCTGTCGGCCCGCCAGCATCATTACCGTTTGCAGGAAGTGAGGGGAGTCGACCTGGAACCCCAACTCGGCCAGGCACTGCAGGCAGTGGAAGCATCCGTAATACCAAGGACTGGTCGAGTTCTCTGGACGGACAGTACGGAAGAGATCCAACGACTCCTAACTTGGGCGCTCCAACGAGCCCTCATGTCGGCGCTCCGACGAGTCCTCACCTTGGCGCTCCATCGAGGATGAATACAGCGCCCACTCATAGGAGTCCATTGAGCGACATGACGCCTGCCCCCGGCATTCCTAGAACGAACACAGCACCTGTAAAGAGCCCACTCAGTCAATTTGAACCGAGACCTCAACTCAAGGAAGCCAAGACCTATAAAGCGTGGGAACCTCCTCAGCTGTATAAACCATATCGCCCGCCATCCCTCAGAAACGACCAGCACGGAAGTCCGTCTCCGCCACCGTCGATTTCTAACATGGATCGGCGCACACCTTCTATTGGAAATAGCCCGCAAACAAACTTCGAGTTCCCCCCTGCATCGAATGCCACAAATTCGGTAAGCCCAGCCAAGTCAGCTGTGGATATGGACCAGATCGGGCTTCCCAGCCCTCCCGTGAGTGAGGATCGGTGGGACAACTCGGGGCGGAACAGCTCTGCTTCGATGGCTCGTCGAGACACAATGATGTTCCATTCCCCACGACGAAAGAGTATTTCTCGGACTGCACTAGAGGCAAAGGCAATCCTGCGCGAACAGGTGGAGGAAGATAAGGAGGCAATTAAGAAGCGGCGGCAGACCGAAGGATTCGAAGGAAATTTCTCAGCATTCAACTTTGGACAGCCCGTGGTTGACAATTCGATACCACTCCCTACGTCACCCCTCATGCCAGCTCCAAAAGCTTCCAGCTCGCCGGCTGAGGACACAAGAGTGAGGTCTGCCTCTGAAGGGAGGAAGAATGCCGCAGAAAGAGGCATGAGCGAGCCAATGAGTGCGGAAATTCTTACAGTGGGCCAACCGTCTCTGGGTCTGAGCCTGCCCCGGACACCAGACACTATTCCTGAGCGACGATTTCCCGAAAATGTTCACGCGCGCGGAGACTCAGACACTAGAGCTCCCAATACCCCGACCGCCTTGCAGCAGCCCGACTCGATGCTTAAACAGCGGCCCTTGAAAGCGCCTCCTGTTAAGAAGGGGCCAATCCCCGGTGCCATCGCTATTCCACCCAAACCGAATGACAACCAGCGGCCTCCGGGACCTCTCTCGGCTAAAGCATTAATAGAAGGCGATTTCCCAGTGATGAATGGTCTTCCTCGGGGTCGTCGTGTCGAGCGTTTTGGGGCGGCTGATTCGCCAGTCGATCAGAGATTCAATACACACGATACGCCCGATTCAGCAACCGACGATGAGAATCTCGATCTCCCACACTGGGTGGATCGGGCAGACCGACACATGTCAGCTATGCCAGCACCACTCTCACCTCTACCTAACGCCTCATTTGGAGACAGGGAGGCTAGCTCATACACGTCTTCACCAACCTCTCCTGTCCCGCCACAACTACCGAGCCCAACCTTCATGTCCCTAGAGAAGTCAATCTCAAATTCGAGCGAGAATTTCAGCAAATCTTTTGAATTGGCTACATCGTCGGCATCCACCCAAATTGATAAGCCACTGATTTCTCCTGTGAGGGGGGAATTCCGGGTCGAGGCTCAAAAGGCTCCCCCTCGCCCACCTCCTATTGCTTTGCCTCCCGGAGCTGGTCGGTTTACTCCGACCAATGGAAGTTTGAAGTCTCCTGTTGAGGTTTCGTCAGGTTATATCTAATCTGTTCGAGAACAACGAAAGTCGTGCTTCAAAATTTTTGCATATGTGTTTTTTTTGCGATAGGGTTCGCCGGAGTTTAAAGGCAGACATAATCAGCGTCAAAAGCTGGGGACCAACCATCATTTTTGGATTTTACTAGTTTCACTCCCCTGGATTGGGTATAGCTATCACTTGGTTGACAAATCGGTTGGATTTCTAATTTGTAATTTCTAGTCATAAGAGAGCCATGGGTATGTAAGGAATGAATAGGAGGGAATATATATATACAAATATATTTAGCATAGTGTCTAAGCCTGGACTAACACATATCACAATGGATTTTTCCCTATCTTCATTCAAGATGCTACAATCGCAATCCGTCAACGCCAGTAACCCTTCTAATGCTTCCCTGATCCGATGAGTAATGTGTTTGTTGGACTTGGCTGGCTGGCCTTCCTTCGACACAAAGTTAGTCCAAAAACCGTTGGAGATTTCCGCCAATGTTCTTAAGATCCAGTAGGAAAGTATCGTGCCCAAACAGACTCATCTCCTCGCTGAGTTCGATGTGGGTGACATTGCGGTTCCCAGCAAGGCGCAGCGCCTCGGCAACTTCGCGCTGCTGCCAGGCGGGGAAGAGGATATCGCTGGCAACGCCCATGACGAGGGTCGGGGTGTCGCGGAGGGGAGCCAGGCCCTTGATGAGGTCCTCGGGGGGTCGCGCGGAGCCGGGAGGGGTGAGCTCCGCGTCCGAGGGCTGGGCCGCGGACTCTGGCTGCTCCTCGTAGGGTTTGGAGGGGAGGGTCAGGCTGCAGCTGGCGTCGGCGGCGAAGGAGGAGGCGGGCTCGCCGGAGCGGAGGAGCTGCTGTTCTCGCTGGCCGCGGCGGGCGGCGGTCTCGCGCTGGGCGTCGTGGCCTAGGTCGAAGAGGTCCATGGCCTTGCTGACGTAGAGGAAGCTGTTGGGGTCAAAGGTGAGGCACCACTTCTCGCCGGCGTGGTCGAGGTAGGTCTCGATGAGGAAGTCTGGGCAGAGGGCGGGGGGTTTGCTCGGGTCGGCGCGGCGGCGGCCGAAGCGCTGCTCCCACTCTGGGCCGGAGCGGTATGTGACGGTGGCGATCTCGCGGGCGAGCTTCATGCCCGCGTGGGGGGGAACCTTGGAGTAGTAGAAGCCGCGGTTCCAGTTGGGGTCCATCATGAGGACCTGGCGCTGGGTGTGGCGCATGGCGATGCTGTACGGGTGGGAGCGGGCGCAGCCGGAGATGGAGACGATGCGGCGGACTCGGTCGGGGAAGAGGCTGCCGGCGGCGAGGGACTGCATGCCGCCCATGCTGGAGCCGACGCTGGCGTAGAGGGAGGGTATGGAGAGATGGTCGAGGAGGCGGAACTGGGCGCGGACCATGTCGTCGATGGTGAGGATGGGGAAGCGGGTGGCGTAGCGCTCGCCGTTGCCTGGATCGACTTCGCCGGGGCCGGTCGAGCCATAGCAGCCACCGATGACATTGGTGCATATGACGAAGTACTTGTTCGTGTCGAGAGGCTTCCCAGGGCCGATGAACTTCTCCCACCAGCCGGGCTGGGGGTTAGCCTCTGTCGAATGGGCATGAGAGGAGGCGGAGAGACCGGTGTGGAGGAGGATGGCGTTGGAGCGCTCCGGGTTGAGGGTTCCCCACGTCTCGTATGCGATGTTGAACTCGGGGAGGATGCCGCCCCAGTCGAGGAGGAGGGGCTCCTTGCACAGGTAGTTGAGGGTGGCACCTGAGGTGTAGGAGGGCTCATTGGAGTTGCTCGTCGCCTCCTCGAGCTTTGCGGACCGGGACTCGAGGGCGTCTAGGCATGGGAAAGCCATAGGTGGGTTGGAGGCGACACCGGAGCGCCGGGGAAGGGTCGTGCTGAGACACCGTCGGGATCCATTGAGGGCGGAATCGTGTGCGATTGATCGTGAAGAGTGGCTGACTGATAGGCAGGACGACCTGGGTAAGATACTGGGCGAGCGAAGCTGCCGAACTGTGGCCGCAATCGACCTTGAAGTGGCGTGGGACATTTTTCTCGCTTCGTTATCAGATAAGAAATGTGGCGGTTGACAGGGGAGGCACAGCGTGGCAGGCGCTGTCCTGCCGGTTGACGCAGCACAGATGAATGGGGGGAGGGAATGTATGTAGTTAGGCCATGGGGTTCACGTTCGAATGAGCGAGTCCATGTATAGATATATCTCCATCCACAGATGAGCGTAGAATGATTTCTAATAGCTCTCCAGGCCGGAGGTGTTGCGAGTTGCTCGGCACGGCAGACGGAACTCGCCATTACGCCATTTCACGTGGGCGGAACTTGGTTCTGTCTCCCCACACGATCTGCCGCTAGAGCTAGCCTTGTGCGGGAGCTCTTGTCTTATCGCGCCGTCAGTGGGCATTGCGATGAACACAAGCAGGGTGCTTGTGGGCTCACCCATTCCTGTCCAATCTCCTGGAGCTTGGTGCCGGTCCTAGTCACAGAAGGCCAGTGACTGATACCGATTTACCAGAGCTCCATGGCATAATCTGAGCCACGAAGCGCGGGACTTGCAGCATTGCCCCACCGCTCGGGTCTAGTGGTTCCTGAGAATCAACTAGCTTGATGCCGCATATCTCGACGTAAGTATGCCATGGCAAGATTGTCGATTCTTTTATTAGTTCTTCACCCTTTCCATGGCCATCCCCAATAAGACAAAGAATCAGAATTCCCGGGATCGTTGGTTTCAGTGCTAGGTCTGGGAAGCTTCCTTTATACCACAGTGTTCTTAGACTTTGGTGTCCCGATTGGACTGCCCCCTCATTTATTCATTGCTCATGGAATATTGGGTGAGTATATCGATGGCTTTTGGCCTCAGAAATGGGAATGGGCCAGCAGAGCGCGACTGTCTGTTAGACGATGCACCGGACGTTATTAGCACGGTCTTTGATGATTCTGGCATTATGAATACTGATTTACCGACCATTACTCAAGGGTCTTTATCAATAGGTATCCGGATTCCGGGTTGCGCTATGTCGCCACAGATCTGCCACTAAAGTGCTGCCTAAAGACGCGATCCACGGCCAAACCTGTTATCTTATCAGAATGCCGGCACAGACCTCTATTACGTAGGAGGGGCAGCTACAGGCACCAGCAACGCTCGTGACGCAAATGGGCAGTATGATTCGCATGTTTCGTCATGACCCGGTACTACCCAGCCCGTGAATAACACTGATCTTACTCGTATTGAATATCCAATATCAGATTGTAGACAGCAAAGCATGCTCCACCTGCTTTTTTCCATTTCCACTTCGGTCCGTTCTACCCAACCCGTGAATAATGTGGTAGGCTCCTTGGCTGCGCCTCGGACAATCCCGTATATAGCCAAGTCGTGCTAGATTGCACATCGTCACTGCACCTGCCTCCTACAACCATCATCGCAACAAACAGACACCCTGAGGAACCATCCTGCATACCTGCGCTTCGCATCGCCATACGCTTCATTTTTCTCTAACACCACTCAGACGTATGTTTTCTGCTTTATTAGAGGGCCTCTCAAACCTCATCATGAGCAACGAGGACACAACCGTGAATGGCGGGGAATACAAACCCAAGCCTGGGGAGATCGTGGCCCTCCGCAACCTATTAGCACGCGAAACGTTACTGCCAATTGATGTGATCGGCCTCATATTCGATTTCGCAGAGTATTGGGCCCATTCGAGCAACGAGATCGATTTTCCAAAGGAGATCCAAGGCCCGCTGATCATCAGCGGCTCTAGCGCCCGTGAGAACCAGCTCGTAGTATGTTCGAATCCCAAGCAATACATCTGCAGGGCCTGAGCCTCACTGACAAACCCTTCGTGAAGTTGAGGTCATTTCCTGTTGGCTTCAGTGGCTTCCGTGAGAAGAAAAGCCTCGCTGAAGTGCTTGCATACGACAGAACCGAGGTCCGACCTCTGGAGCTCGCGAAGGAGAACGAGCCTGAGTTCTTCAAGGAGAAGGCCAGCTACGCCATGCCTAAGCTTGTCCACCCCGTTCGCAGGATTGTCTTCACCATAAAGAGCAGAGACCAGGGCTGGGGCGGTGCCGGGCAACACCACGGAACGTATAATACATCCTGGACCTGGTTTGACATCGGACTTGAACGTTTCGATGCTTCGCAGACATGTAAGACCCTCCCTACGCTTAGATCTTCCTGAGGCTAATGCAGAGGCAAAACATCTAGGTGACCCGACTTGTTCTTTAGATCTTCGCTACGAATCGCCAAATTCTACCCCACCAGCTCTGCCTCTGTGTGCACTTCGGCCGATACGGCCCAGACTAGAGCCTAGAGATAATGGGGAATTGGCTTTTCATCACCCACTGAGTGATGATGAGGACGGAATGGCCATTCAGTACAATGTTCTGGCATCTAGACAGTTCAAAGAGCATGTTGTGACCTGGGACTGGCAGGATAAGCCCGACCCAAATGTGGAATCACTGAGCGAGGAATTAGGACGAGGGTCTAATACGATGGACGGCTCATTTGTTCGGGGGCTCAAGCTAGGGGACGTGATCACAGTTTGGGGTAAAGCAAGATTCCCGGGATGGGCTAACCATGTTGAACGAGTCCAGATCGATATATTTTGGGCTGTCTAGAACGGAGTATTGCATTTCTCTTAGAAATACCTATTATCAGAATGCTAAATGTTTGGCACAAGGACTCCTCTTGCCAGGGACCAATTTTTGCATCACAAGGCAGGACTAAACCAGCTGCAATTATGAGAGTCCTTCGGATTTGACTCGCATTGGTCAATAGGATATCAAAGTGCTGCGTGAAGATAAATATGGTGCAAGAATTTCTGCAATGTTACCGTTGGATTGCTACTCACGCTGGTGTCGACCAGTCGGTCGCTCCTGCATGTCTATCGCCTTGGAATAGGTAAGTATTGTTTCAATATGCAACTACCCCGCGCTGTATTGTGCAGCAATTGTGCGGCCTTGTGTTGCCTCACTTTCCTATAGGCAGGTAATGGTTTCACAAGAAAAAGCAGTGGGCGGCAACGGAGATGGGCAAAAAGCCAAAAGCAAAACTGCACTTTCTCCCACAAAACACTCGCCTCAGCCGCCACAACAACCATCTGATCTACCTTCACACCTTCCTACCAGTTCTGACATTGAGCGACTGATTACACCTGATTAAATCTGAACTACCAATGCCCAAAATGGCAAATAATCGACCAAAGATCGATCAAGATGAGGAAAGAGCGAGAATCATGGCCTCCAGCTACAAGGTTTTGGACCATCTCCTCAAGGTCATCATCGTGATGGAGAGAGCAGGCTTCTCCAAGGCCCCGAAGACGGGAAAGGTCGCCCGGCCCCTGAGCCCAGCTAAGAAGCAGAAGCACAACCAGGCGCATGCGCTCCATATGTCCTATCTGAACACGAAGATGAAGATTGCAAAGCTGAAGGACATTCTCGACGAAATGGAGGGCCAGGACGTGAAGAAGAACAAGAAACCGGTTGCAACAGGAGAAAAACCAAAAGCAGGCCCGAAGATCTGAATTGCCTGATCCAGCCCAACTTTTTGATGATGTTGTGGACTGGGCGACTCAAAGGTTGGGGAGAGGGGCAGCATGAGAGAGTGGAGGAGATTCGCCAACTAGCTCGGAAAGCCCGATTGAAAATATAGTGTCACCCCGGAACGAAGACGCTTCCCTTGAAGCTCGATCTTGCACCACAGCCATAGTACCTGGCGATTTCCCACCTCTGTGTACTTACACTTACTTTTGAGCCAATTCCCCCGGCCAGCACCGATGAAAGGAGGGATACGAAAAGCTGCAACCCAAGAAAGAGGCACGGGCATTCCCATTCACGCCATGGATTCTTGGGTCGGATTCGGGAAGCTGAGTTGAGACATACATTTCGTTTGTGCATGCAGGAGCATGCGTGTTCTTCTGCATTTGTTCAAGGTGGCGTTGCCGTGGGCTGATCAGGCCGCCATCTTGTCCTTGGGCTGACGAGGCCGGAAGTGCGAACGGTACTCATTTTGATTCAACGCGCAGCTTTCTCAAGTTCTCTACAATTCAAGATCATTTCTCCGTATAATTCATAGAAATTATAGCTGTTCGTGTCAATCTGAGTTTAGCCATTGAACCGTCCTGCTCTACCTAGTAGGTGTTTCTATCAGCACGTGATCTAACACTATCGGCCTAAACGCCCGATGACGACACTGTTTTGTAGTTCCAGTGAGCCTAGCACTCAGCTAGACTTTAGAGCATAGAAGCTCAGTGATAGGCGCTCTCCAAGGCTGAGCTGGGCGTAAAGTGAACAATTGTATTTAATCTTCACGAATTCAATTCCCCAGCAATGCGATGCTTTAGAAATCTCCAGCATAAGTTCGTCCAGACCTCGCATACTACCTTCAGCTACTGCTGCCATCTTCGTCGCAATATGTCGTCAAAATCGAGCTTCACGTTTCCAGAAACCAACATTGCTATTTCCCTCCCGCCAGGCTTGAAAGAAGAGCAGGTTCTCGCTTTCCGCCCACTCAAGGTATAAAAAACTTTCAAGTCATATCCCTTACTCTGGTCCAGGGGCTAAGTGAGCAACTCTTATAGAATTGGATCAGTACCTTGTCGAATTCCCTTCGCCTCCAATCGGACCCGAAACACCCCTTCTTCCCCGACCCCTACGCGCTCCGATCCGTTACCGTCCAGTCTTACGACCTCTTCGGGCACACTCGTGTCGGCTTCCTCAAGCTTACGGCTACCGTCTCCAATGCTGCAGGCGAGACCCTCCCCGCCGCAGCCCTCCTTCGCGGCCCCAGCGTTGCCATGCTGGTCATCCTGATCCCAGACGATGCGAAGAACGACGACGAGAGATACGTCGTGCTGACGGTGCAGCCGCGTGTCCCCGCCGGGAGCCTGAGCTTCGTGGAGCTCCCCGCGGGCATGGTTGATGATGCGGGCAGCTTCAAGGGCGCCGCGGCCAAGGAGATGGAGGAGGAGCTCGGGATCGAGATCCACGAGGACGATCTGGTTTGCCTGAGCGAGCTTGCGGCCCCGGCTGCGGAGAGCAAAGAGGATGGGGAGGGCGGCGAGGGACTGTCCCGCGCCGTGTTCCCCAGCGCGGGCGGGTGCGATGAGCATGTGACGCTTTACAGCTACGAGCGACGCATACCGAGAGAACAGCTGCAAGACTGGAGTGGGCGCCTAACGGGTTTGCGGGACCAGGGAGAAAAGATTACTCTCAAGGTGGTCCCCATGAAAGACCTATGGCGAGAAGGCTCGAGAGATGCGAAAGCACTCAGCGCGCTGGCCCTCTGGGAAGGGCTGCGTCGAGAGAAGATGATTTGAAAGTCTTAATTCTTGGTTGTCTAAGGAATCCCCCGTGCTCTATTACTCTGTTGTTCTATCTTATCGCCGCCATGGTTCTATTTCCCCCAATTCTTTGCTTCTCTTGAATTTTAAAAGAGTGCATACCCGGGCCTTACAGCTTCAGTCTCTGTGCCAGCAGAATACCCTCAGCCAGAGTTCCAACCCGGGCGTCAACGGCGTACCCCTGTGCCTCGAACTTCTTGCACTCTTCCCACAGGTCGTCCAGCGGTACGGTGAAGCAGTCGATGAACTCGTTTTCCTCAAGCTGGGGCTTGGGGTTCTGGTTTTCCGGTAAACTCATGTCAATGGAAACATGAACCATGCGCAGGTTAGTGTTGCAGAATCCGGGATCGTTGTACATGACTGGGCTCGACTCGGTCACCACGCCGACATAGCCGCACTCCTCTTTCAACTCCCGGATGGCAGCTTCCTCTGCCGTCTCACCGTTGTCGACCAGACCCGCGGGCACTTCGATTGCTATGCAGTCAATGGGAGGTCGATACTGCTTTTGGAGCAGGAGTTCCCGGCGATTGGTCTTTGGGTTGTCGAGAATAGCGACGATTCCTACGCCATCAATGTCGCCGTCCTTGGGCCGTGTGCTGCGTTCAGCTGATTCCCATTTGCGCGTTGTGCCAGTGGGATCTTGGTATGTGATTCTGGGCCAGTCAGTTTGCTGTCGTCTGCCTACTACCCAAGTTGGGTCGGGCTCACCCTTCAAGCTTGATCCAGCGAGAATTTTCATTTGACTGGTGGGATCTACTGGTCAGCTGAGTCCGATTTCTTCGGCAGGCATGGTAGGTGAAGCGCGAGAGCTTGGCTTACAAGTGGCTCCTTGTGCAGGACCTTTGACCCTATGCAGGTGGACGTGGTGGTGGACATGGTGATTTGCGAGTGCGCTTTCGACTCCTCTGAGTGTGCTAGATTGAGGTTGAAAAGTTTTGAGTGCCCTGCCGCTGGCCAGCACACGACTGAGATCTAGGTGATGTGACGCGATGCAATGTGATGTGATTCTCTGCGTTGGGCTCCAACACGGTGAACGCTAAGGTACGACGTAAATGAGCGGTCACAGTCGGACTAACGTGGCAGCCGATGCGAAGGCGCACAAGCAAGCAGGTGAACCCGATATTGTGTTTTTCCTTCTCCTAGCGACGAGGGACAAAAAAAAAGAAGAAAAAGAAAAAATAGGGGGACCGGGATACAAGAGAAATTTTTACTGTGCAGGTTGAAACAGACACCGCCAGTTCTTTTGGTGCAGATAAGCGATCACGGAGCGATACCAGCGACAGACTGCAGTCGGAGAATTGATGGATTGGCGATCGATCATAAACAACCAGCAGCATATACCCACTCTGCATGCGAGCCTAATACGGACGTCGTTTCCTCCGACTTCGAGACGACTTAGCTACCAAGCATCACGAGAACGGATCTGCAGATGGCAGCTTGTGGTCAAGGAATGAGTTGAGGTCAATTGTGGCAGGATGGCTTCCTTAGCTAGATACGACGTTCACTACATGCTACCTAGATAGTTTGAATCTCATTTGACGGTCGCCATACAGCCTACTCTTGTCCATCACCAACCTCAGTTCTTTTCGTAACATCGCAGGGTGGGATTTGCCGGGGGTTCGGAACGTGCCGCCCAGCACTACGTTTCACCCTCACCGGCGAACGATACACGACCCATTCCCATCACACGACTCTGCAATCACAGATCGTCGTTCTGGCTGAGCTGCCAGTAAGCTCCACCCTTTGCCCACCTGCCGGTATGCTTGGGGGATTCATGGGTGATGACCATCTGGCTCCCGGGGGCAGGCGAGGGGACCAACTCAGACTTGTACGGCAGAATCTCCCGCTCCGTCCGGACCACAGCCGTGTTCGCGAGCACCCTGCCGCGGGCGTCGACGGCAACGGCAGCGACGGATAGGAAGCTCGCGCCGCGGACGGCCAGGCTGGTCTCGAAGCTCGTCCGGGGCACCTCGGCGAGGAACTCGCGCGAGCCCTTGCCGTCCACCACGGCGAAGAAGCGCCACGCGGTCGTCTCTGTGTCGCCGTTCCATGAGACGTAGATGGTCGTGGTGTGCTTCTTAGCGTTGGCCAGCGCGACGATGGCGGGCTCCTCGCTGGGCACGCCCGTCCAGTTGTACCGGAAGGCGCGGTAGTTCTCCACGGCGACGCCCAGAGCGCCCGAGTCCATGTACGCGTGGAATAGGGGCTCGCCGTTGGCGGAGAACTCGGTCACGGCGCCTGAGGAGCCCCAGCCGACGAGGACATTGCCCCCCGGGAGGACCTGGGTGCTGCCCTGGGACTTGGAGCGCAGGCCGTCGGGTGGGAAGTAGGCGCCGACGAGCTCGGCGGTCCAGGAGGTGGTGTTGAGGCGCAGGATCTTCCCGCTCGAGGTGGGTGCGGTGTGGACTTCTGAGCCGTCGTTGTGCTCTGTGCCGTGGGCGCTGTTGTCGTAGAGGCTGATGACCTCGATGTCGTCGTCCTGGGCGAGCCAGCGGGCGTGGTGCTGGAAGCAGAACTCGGTGCCGTTGGCCATCTTGAAGTCGGAGCGAGTTCCGTGGAGGCGCCAGATGATGGAGCCGTCGGTGCCGTTGATCTTGTGGATGGCGCAGGCGTCGCGGGCGGAGATGAGGTAGTTGCCCGAGGCGTCCTTGTCGACGCTGTTGATGTGGAAGTAATCCCATGCGTCGGAAGAGTTGTAGCCGGAGCCGGCCTGTCCTGGGTTGATGGGGAGGATGGCTTCTATTATTCAGTGAAGATGGAGCGTTAGAGATGTTCGGTATGGAAGTCGTCTTGGTTTGTGATGGGAGCCTCATACCGTCTGGCTGGACATGATCCAAGCTTGCCCACTCGAATAGCAACTCGCCGGTGGAGATATCAAGTTCTAGAGGAGCCGAGTTAGTATTTCTGTCCAAAACGGAGTTATTTGGTTCAAGTTACCTTGGATAATGGCGTTGACAATCCACTGTTGCTCAGGACTCGCTCCCCACTCAGTCAGATCACGAGGGACAGGCTGATAGACCTGGATCAGACCAGTCTCCTCGTTGACAATATGGAACTCATGCTTATCAACAAGCTTGTGATTCCCTGCGCGGAGCTCACGGATCGTTTCATAGTGCTGGTCCACAAAGGTGATGTGCCCGTGGCCATGGCCATACCCGGGGTTATGATCACCCTCGAACGAGAACAATACATCCTTGCCATTCCAACGGCCGGCTTGGAAGTTGGTGGACCAGATACTGTATATACCGTACCCGGACCAGACCAAATCTCCATTGTCCCTGAAGATGTAGGGGCCGGCCTGGCGAGGACCGTGTTGCTCGGTCGGGGTGTCGACCAGGCCGGCAAACGGAGCGAGGAAGAGATAGCCCGGCTCAACGGCATCCGTGGCTGGGATCGTGATGTTGAGCCTCGGAGGGGCGAGGTCGGGACGGGAGCGGAACTGCCAATCTGCCATGGCAGGCTGAACGAGCGCCGCCGCCGCAACGAGAGCAGGGACGAGAGTGGACTTGGCCGTCTTCATTGTTGAGGATCAGGCGGGTGGAAGCTATGTGCGTCAGAGGTATGGGACTCCATTTCGTGCAAGAATAGGTACATTCACCTTGTGGTAGTCTACAAGCCCTGAGATAGCCTTTGATTGTCCTTTTTTGTATGATTTTTTGTGTTTCTTAGTTGTCAATGGGTGTTGTTGCAGAGGGAGCAATTGGAACTTGTAACAGAGGATTTTGAGCTGATTTGTTCGTGGGAAAAGCATTGAGCTAGGGCACAGAGGGAAACATCACGGTTTTACATCAGAGCTACGATGAGGGGTCAAGCATTACTCATTCGGTGTGGACCACCAGCCGGCATTCAATGAGACAATCAGTACCAATGAAGCAGCAGCAGAGTGTAATGTCACGTCATATTGATCAGCATGGATTAAATGCCGCTATCGGTGGTGACATTCAGCATTGGCGATGTTGCCCTATTGAAGATGTACTATGTCAGTGGTGTTGTTGATGGAGGACTTGGTGATGGTGATGGCGTGCTTCAGCGGCGTGGTGATTGGTGGTTTGGTGGAGACTAGAAGCGTCATCTTGGCCCATGCAGGAGAATTAGAGAGGATATGGTGCCGTAAAAGCATCAATTGGATGTAGCGACGCCCGTAAAACAGATCGGTGGTGCCATCGCGAAGGACAACTCAGAGATGTCGATGGATTGGTGGAGTTGCTTCGGTGTGACAGCAGAGATGAACGAATTGGTGATGGTTTGGATGGATATGCAAGGAAGACTCACTGATCCCCACACAGACAATCTCTACCCAGCCGACGTTTAATTTTTTTTTTACCGGTGCTACTAGTTCATCGATCTTCGCCAAAGAACAATTCTCTTTGCCCTTGCCTTGCCTTGTCCAGTTCTAGAACCCCAAACAGAATCTTCCCTTCACGAGTGTACCACGAGCCCAAATCCTCCATCTCAAAATGGCCGGATCATCCTCCCGGACCCCGCCAATTGACGAGGAAACACCCTTGTTCCATGACCATGTCCCAGCTGGATCTGAGCACCGAGAGGACCAGCCTATCCTACAGGCCCCGAGCGAGGAGACATGGACCATTCCCCGCGGCTTCTTTTGGATCCAGCTCGCCCTCATGAGCAATGTCTTCCTCCAGGCCTTTGATAGCACTATTACTGCTGCCACTTACGCCGTCATCAGCTCCGAGTTCGGCTCTGCCAATACGGCCTCGTGGCTCACCACTTCATATCTGGTCACCAGCACCGCTGTCCAACCGTTGTATGGCCGTGTCTCAGATATTTTTGGCCGCAGATTGTGCTTCTTCATTGCTACCATTACTTTTGGCCTGGGATGCCTCGGCTGCGGGTTGGCTCGCGATGTGGTAACGTTGAACTGTATGCGCGCCCTGACTGGGTTTGGGGGTGCCGGCTTAATGACTATGGGTATGTATTGATAACGGAACCGATGACCTTGTATTCTCTCCCAAGACCCAGCTAGCTAATCAAGGATGGGACACAGCAACCATTGTCAATTCTGATATGATCCCCTTCCGCAGACGGGGCATGTACCAGGCCATGCAGAACGGAATCTGGGGCCTGGGCGGAATCTCTGGCGCCTCCCTGGGCGGTGCCATCGCTGACAAGATAGGCTGGCGCTGGTGTTTCCTTCTCCAAGTCCCGGTCTCTATTTTTGCCCTTTTTGTGGGAGCTGTTGCAGTGAAGAACCAGGCTGGTAACTTGTTCGAAGACGGGATCAAGGCTGTTTGGAAGAGAGTCGATTTCACAGGTGCACTGTTCCTTGTGCTTGCCATCTCTGTCCAGCTTCTCGGGCTGAGTCTTGGTGGGAACGAGCTCCCCTGGACCAGTCCATGGGTCATCGCGCTCCTGATCGGCAGTGTTGCCCTGTTTTCCATCTTCTTCTTCATCGAGGGTCGCACAACTGCCATCCCCATCATCCCTCTACGGATGCTCAAAGGCCGATTACCTGTGGCTACCCAGATTTCCAACATCTGTGCCGGGCTGTCCGCATACGGGGTATGTTCTTTAATATGCCCCGCCCTTCTCTTGTTTCATCGGCGAAAGTGTTGCCCAGAGACAGACTGACAGATTGCCCTCTAATAGTTTCTTTTCATGATTCCACTCTTCTTCCAGGTTATTTTGATGGAATCGGCCACCAAGGCAGGCGCCCGCCTAGCCCTCCCTTCGCTAGCTACTCCTATCGGTTCCATCATTGCCGGAATCGTCATGTCGCGTTGGGGCAAGCTTATCCCACTTGTCCGGACTGGAGCCAGCATTATCTGCTTTGGAAGTGCCCTGCTGCTCTCGCTCTCCTTCCAGGATGCCTCGTGGAAGTACATAGCTTTCATCATCCCTACCAACCTAGGAGTTGGCGTCATCTACCCGTCTATTCTCTTCACAACTCTGGCTTCGTTTGATCATGCTGGTAAGAAACATGGGCAAAATCAAAACCTTGCAAGTTAGCGAATCTGCAACCAATGACACTAATCCATCCGTCCACAGACCACGCCGTCTCAGCCTCGACAGTCTACCTCATCAGATCCCTGGGAGCTGTTTGGGGCGTTTCTATAACTTCTGCCATTGTGCAAACTACGCTCAGCGTCCGCTTGCCGGATGCTTTGAGCGGGATCTCTGATAAATGGAGAGTACGCCCCTTTTCAATCCAGCCTTCCTATCCTACCATTGGGCTATGGCCTCTTATGTTGCATGTTCCTTGAGTTGCTGACTTGGAGATGATTTTCAACTAGGTTATCGACGATATTCGTCACTCTGTTGAGGCCCTCAAGACCTTACCCCCGGATGTCCAGCTCAAGGCGCGCCTGGTCTACTTCGACGGCATACACTATGCCTTTGCGTCTGTGGTCGTCGCTGGCGCCATCGCTGTCATCGCTGCCTTTATTGCCAGTCCAAAGCAAATGCGCAGCACTCACTAACCGATCAGGCTATAGTTAAGTTCTTGCATGTCACACATCGCGACGACCGGGTGGTGCAGGAAATTGAGAGCATTGACGTTACGAGCCACTCTCGAACGGCACATAACGTAGGAGATTATGAACGGGGGCACGTTGTCCAAAATGGGGCGTTGGAATTAAAGGAGAAGTTTTGAGATAGAACCAGAAGTAGATTCTTGCTTTTTAGAGACTAGATATACACAGATTGATCCGAGGATTGCCAAGAAGTTGATGGAGTGCAGTGTTGGAAGTTAGCATGGGCAACTCGATCAGACTCTATACCGCATGCATTTTCAATTTGGCCTCACTATCAAGGCGCTTTTGGTGGCGCATTTTCAAACCCCTTCTCGCGCTCGAAAACTTGTCTAGCAATTGCGCTTCTCCCATTCCAACGAGGCCAGCATGAAGACTGCGGCCCCTCGGAGGTCGTTCTTCCTTGTCGCGATGCTCGAGTAATACTAAACAGAATCCAGTTAGTTCAGGTACAGCAATAATAACGTTACCAAAGAGAATTCGAATATCTCACCTCAAAAGTAGCGTTGGAGCCCAGGCTGCCAACCTCCACCGTCTTCTCCCAGTTGATGGTGCCATCCTCATTAGTCGTCACGAACAAGTCAATCATGGCCCGGTACGCCTTCTCAGCCACGTCCTTGTATCCCGCCTCGGGGAGGAGCCCGAGGTTCAGGCCCCGGAGCCAGCCAAAGGTGAACATGACGCTCGCCGACGCCTCGAGGTAGTTGCCCTTGACATCCTCGTACCGCTTGTCCATGACGTTCCACCACCCGCCTAGCTCGTCCTGCGCGCCCTTGAGCCCCTCTGCCGTCTTCTCAAAGTAGCCGATGAGCCTCTGGCGGCCCGGGTGCTCCTCGGGGATCAGCTGGATGACCTCGAGGAGGGACATGAAGTACCAGCCGATGGCGCGGCCCCAGACCAGGGGCGCGCGGCCGTCCTCGGTGTCCGCCCAGACGGCCTTCTTGCTCTCGTCGTACCCGTGCACGAGGAGGTTGTTATCCTTCTTGCGCGTGCGGGCGTCGATTGTGTCGAACTGCAGCATGATGTCGTCCCACGCCGTCTGGTTCCCCGGCTGGAACAGGGACGTCCACTTGGCGTAGAAGGTGTCGGCCATGTAGATGCCGTCGAGCCACATCTGGTTGGGGTACGAGGGGTCGCGGTGCCAGAAGCCGCCGGCGAGGTTGCGCGGGTGGGTGTCCAGCATCCCGCGGACGGCGTCGGCGGCGACCTTGTACTTGGCGTCGCCGGTCTGCTCGTACCAGTAGAGGATGTTGTTGCCGAAGCGGTAGTTGTCCAGGGAGTGCTTTCTGTAGTCGTAGTTGGCGATTGTGCCGTTCTCAAGGACCACGCCGTCGACTAGGTCGTGGTAGACCTGCTTGAGGGTGTCGTTCTTGGTGAAGGCGATGACGTCCTGGAAGGCGTTGTACAGTGTCGCCTCGTCGTAGTGGAAGTCGGGCTCGACCCCGTGGTGGAGGATGGAGTTGGTCATCCAGCGCGTGTAGGAGATCTTTGACCGGGGGGAGGGCGCCGCCAGTGCAGGCGTGGCCGCGAGGATGGCAATGGCAGCAGCTTGAAGAGACCTCATTGTGTTTTACCAGCCTATACAGCTTAACCAGATCCAATGCGATGCTCTGGGTAGACATCTCCGGGGGATCTTGTGTCTATATATCTTCAACTGCCCCTTGCCAGCGGATCCCATCCCCAAGACACGATTTCAGCCTTGGCCTCGTCAGATGGAGAAACAAACCACATGGCATATTCTTACTTCTCACCATGTAGCACTATCATCCGGGTCTTGAGGTGCCATCCATGCAGCCAAGAACAGAATAACCACCCAGGGGCAGGAGAAATCATGGTGCGAACAGCCGTAGAGACCCGCAAAGTGAGATGCAGGCGCTCCCGGCAATTCGTGCAAAAATCCCCATGGGGACCCTCATAATGGTTCAAGGGTGGGTTTTCCTAGAAGACCTTGCTATGGCCAAGCTCCGTCTTCTAATTTGTGGGATTTTCGATTGACGTGCCAAGAGGGAAAGTGGCTAAAATCAGCAACAGATCCGCTTTGAAAGACGTCCATTTCTTTTATCCAAGCTGGGGCAGGCCACCGGCTGATCGGTTTTTCGCCAGATCTCCGTCATTCAATTGATTAATGCCCGCCTCTTGCTAGAGACCGGTAAAAGACAAGGCTCTCCAATTACGTAGCGTCCAGTGGTGCCGCCAAGGGTGTGAGATTGGGAGCTAGTTTCTCTTCCATGCTGCCTAGATACAAGGCAAACCAAGAGACCACCATCTCAGGTATGCGTAGGTAAGTATATCTTGAGGTATAGGGGGAATAGTGTAAGAAATGCCCTGTTGCTGCTTGAAATTGTGCTATCCTACCATGAAGCCTCTAAGGCTGCTTGTTACAGGCATGTACACTTGGCTTACACATCAAATCATGTATATCCATCTGCGTCGTGCTTCGTTCGGCATCGTTAGACAATATTAAGTAAATTAAAAACTGGTGATGAATGTATAAACGCCAGATATTAATGTAATAATCGATGGTGCAGAGAAAACGATGAGTTTGGAACATTGAGTAGTTTGTGTTCTCGCTACAGGGTAGGCTGACAATTCTGCTGGCAAAGAATGTGAACGAGCAGGGCATATCTACGGTTCGCACATTCACTACTGCCGTGCCATAAGAGCATTCGCATGGTAAGATCGAGACCAGCTGTTACGGTACTTGGTCAACCGGGGGAACGGTGTGCGACAGCCCGCGACCAAGATCGAGAGCCGTTGTGAGCCGAGATCATGTGGGGAGGTCGATCTGACTGGCCGGTTGTCGGGTCCAGATCAAGGGAACACGGTAGAGCTAGGTGCCGCTAGAACGTGCCGCTGCCGAGCCCGTTGGTTGGAGCAAAAACGTGCACAGGCACTGGGACGGGTGTGGCTTTGAAATTCAATAACTTTATTACATAGTGCAGAAAGTACTGGGATGTTGGGAGGTTTGGACACGGATTATATGTGAGGAGGGTAAGCTTTGACGCCACCAAACGGATAGACGGCAAAGGCGACGGATACAGAGTGGATGAAGGAAAGACAGGGATCTCAGAGAGGACGGTCGAGATCTGACTCCAGCTGCGGTTACTGTCTGAAGCTTGTGGATTGGAAGCGCCCGTGGCAGAGATGTGTATGTCTTAGAGACTGGCTCTGCAAGCTGAAGCCTATCTGAATGATCGCATCGTCACACCATCAGAGCAGGAGAACATGAAAAAAACCCCAAAAAATAAAATGGAAGGCGAATCGGCCCCGTAAGGTTTGAGCGTAGAACCTCCTGGGTTGGTCCTTGGGCATTTCCATCGCGCTGGTTGGTTGCACCTCCCCCATGTTGAGATGCCGTCCTTGCCGACCCTGTGCACATCTGAATATGGATTGTCATCGAGACAGCCGGTATCAGCACCTCAGAACACCATGTGCTATTGCCTCTTGTTTGTGAGTCGCTGAGGCGGTGGAGAGGGGAAGGATTGCCTCGTCTTGCCTGATGGCTTTTAAGCCAGGAGATGCCCAAGCCACCATGAGCCGATGGTCTGCCTACTCCTTCCTTTACCTACCCCTTCGTTTTTCTGCGAGTCTAGACCTCTGAATGCGGCTGATCGCGCAGAATGTTTGCGTTCGCGAGCCTGGGGGTAGGAGGCCTCGTGGAGGCCTCCGCACGGAACACCGGCACATTAGCCTTCCTTAATAAGCCCTATGGACCATGCTAAAGCAAGCATAATTCAGAGTTGTGGTAGATCGGGGAGTAGTATATCATTCAGCCTTCTGCCAAACTTTAATCGGGCTGCTTATTCCTCTTGCAATAGTAGGGGGGGGTCATGACACTTGTCTCAGCTACGATACTAACAACAACTTCGAGTCCACTCGACGCCGCCTCACCAAACTCGCCCCGTTGAGCGATGAAATCACCAACAATATTAGTTGGATTTAACAAGCACTGGCTTGTTGCCCATTCGATTTGGTGCATCGTACAGACTTCGCAACCGGCGATGGCCACAATAGGTCCTGGCTGACACCAGTGTAAACTGGTTCCTCACCATCATCACTCGATCCAACATGGCAACTCCAAGGCATTGAAGAAAAATAACGCCTGGGGATCCATTCGACTCTTGGATCAGATTACCTAAGAGTACTCCCCTTTTCTCTCTTCATCTCACTCCCCCTTTGGCAGTCATCAGGATGGCTATGTCGTCAGGTTCGGAGAGCCAAGACTCGGGGGACCGAATCTTTACCCCCACCTCTCGGCTTCTTGGCAGATGCTCCGGGAGGACTCTCCGGAGGCTCTGGTGGTAGGCAAGCATAATACTCCCCCAACGGCTTTTCAATTTCACCCGTCCTTGAAGTCTTGTCTCGCTTTCGGCTCTTGGACTGACCTGGGCATTACCGTTGGCCATGGACTGTGCCTCTTCGGGCCCGGCTCGCTCTTAGACCCTCGTCCTGTGGTATTGGTGCAGGGAGGCTCTGGAATCTGTTCTCGACCAGCTTGCAGTGATTTGATTCGAATTGGATACCGGTGCAAGCACAAGTAAGCAAGTATCGATTGAAAGGAAAGAATATCGGTATTGACGCAGAGCCAGGACCTGGACTGGTCGGATCATTCGACCAGGCGCTGATCGATGGACCACATATATCGTCGTTGACTGAAGGTTCTGAGCCAGTCACTCCGGCATGGCCTACCAGTGGCTTGCGCCGGCTGAGTAACGTTCTGATCATGTCGTCACATCATTAGCATTGGAAGTTCGCGCAGACAGAAGTGGCAAGTGTGGGAGCGAAGTGGCCATGGCCAAACTCCGGCGATCGGCTACTGCGCCTGGCGCACCCATTTCGGCGCAAGGTGGCTGATCTCTCACCATTTACCATGCGCACCGGAGGAGCCGACTTGCCATGGAACTCAAGCTAGAGTGTTAAGGTTAAACATTGGCTCCCAGTTAAGCTTGAAGATCATTGAATGCATTCGGGGAGGCATCCTGAACCTACGACACGAGCGCGGTGCCTTTGGCCGACCTGAACACCGAACTTCCAGGCGTCGATTGACTCACCTCACCACGGCCTCGACTTTTACGACCGAAACGAGCTACATTCTAGAAACGAGGGAACGCAACGGAGTCGCCGTGGGGACCACGACGCGACCACCGGAAAGGCCAAGAAAACAAGAGCATAATTTTTTTATTCCCTCTTTCAGATCTCATCCGTTGGACCAAGCTGTCGGAGGGAGCCAAGGCCAAGAGACTAGGACTCGATTTACTCTGTTAGCGACAATGATCGTTTGATCGCAAGCGACACATTCGTCCGATGCAGCACGCGTTGGAGGGTACGACTGACCACTTCCATCGCCAGGAGAACACACGTGCATATGCTGGGTTGATCAGCTAAATGACAAACTGTGCAGGGCTTGGCGTGGCGTGGAGCCTGGGGTGCTTGCACGGCGATGCCCGGCCACAGTCTAATACAGGTAGAAGGCTGCTAAGGCCTGTTCCAAACGTTCTATTTTTCTTTTGACCCTTGGCCTGATGCCTCGGACGGGGTCAGGTCGCGTCACCCGACTGACGGAGCGCCAGCAAATCATCTCCTGCTGCGTCCATCATGCATTAGGCGTCTTGGCTGGGGGTACGGGGAGCCAGAGCCGGCCGATGAAGCCCTTCTTGCCAAGTACCTATTGGCTGAGGGAGGGAAAGGAAACAAGAGAGCAACCGAGAGCGGGATGGAGACACGTGCGCCCTGGTGGGATGATTTGTGAACGCCGGAAGTCGCACTGTTTTTGGTCATCCGGGATGCTATGGATTGCCCTTTATTGCGCTGCAGCTGGCCGCGGTGGGAGGATCTCATCATGGAGCTGATTTGACATCACACGCATTTGCGACAACAATGCCGCCGCGGAATAAGCCAAACCCTAGGTTAGCTGTGTTGGCTGCTCTCCATGGTAGGGTCCAGCTCCGTGCACGCCGTTGGTCAAGAGCAGCCGCGCCGTTGATCAGGTTCGCTGCCTTCATTTGCTGTGGCCGTCGAGTGAGGTTGAGAGAGGGGCACACGTGTGATCTACGGGGACTGTGATTGGCTCCAGGGGCACATCCCGATCCGGGTTAGCGTCGGAAGCTATCTGACGGCACGGTCAAACAATCGATCAGTCGAATCAAACACCATCAGCAGCAGCTTCAACTGCTTCTGGCTGTGCGCCCAAGGCACCTTGGCACTGCGGACAAGATGCCCAACCCTGCTTTAGCTTGTCGCAGGCCTTGGCGGACGCTGCCCGTGTCTGACCCTCCCTCCATCCCACTCTTTTGCTTCCTCTTAGGCTGCTTTGGCCACCTCGCCGGGCCATCGTGAGTACTCGAGCCCCAAATCCAAACCCACGTGCAAAAGAGAGGAAGATTCTTCACCCTGCAATTGTGTTTAATGGAGAAGCTTATTTTTGTCTTTTACCTCAACGCAGGCTATTGAAGGGGTCGGCCCATGTGTGGATTTCGGAGGATGGTGAACGCCCCCAATGCGTCTTGCGTTTCCTTTCCTTTTGAGGAGGCGAAGGAGCATTGACTGAACCCTCAATGCAATGGCTCACTTGTGCAGCTCAGCTCCTGCGACTCTACCCGCTCTTGCGGCAGCAATGGGGTAGGATCGTCCCGGAAAAGCCACAGCGAGACAGCCATGTCCTGCTTTTTGCATTCGAGCTGAAGGATAGCGTGCCTACCACCCCCATGCCAAATACTGGGCATGCAAAAGGACCAGGGCCCATCACGGCCTGCAACGAAGTGCTCATCTGTGGTGATTAGCCCCGACTATATCCTGGTGAGCTCATGCATGCTCATCGCCCGAGTTACTATCGGATGCTTCCCCCCCCAAAGGTGTGCTCTCGCGTCGCAATTGGACGCCACCTTCGTCCACCGGCCCAAGTCGTTTCTCGAAGCTATCGCCTTCCTCTCTTGGGGTCCACCGTTACTCACTAATGTCCCACCCCTAAAGGCTGGGCATCTTCACCAGTGTCTGTTGCCTCATCCACTTTTGCTGACCCTGCCCACTCCAGCCCAGGATCATTTGGCCATTCAAACTGCCAGGATGCCTTGGCAGTGCTATCCATGTCTATATTGCCTCTCAAAGCAGATTCGAGTATCCAGGACGTGCCCTCCCGATCACCCACTCAGCGATCAGAGGCTGCCCACGCACCCCGCCAGTACGATTTTCGATGGAGCAAACTGGGTGGGTGCTCGTACGTAGACGGGCACTAGGACGCCCGATTCTAGAAGCTCACCCCCGATATTTCCTGGCTTTCCTCTTTCCAAGGGTTTTAGTCAGAGCAACTGGCCGTAAAGGATGCTTAAAATTAAGCTTCTGGTGACACTACGAGGTACAACGACGGAGTAGACGAGCGACACCCCACACAGCCATCGTCACACACCATGAGAATCCACCCAGGCAGATCCCTGGGAAAACAGTCCTAGTCTCGTACAGCGCCGCGCTGCTTGGGTGCGTCTGAATGGGGGGACTGGGTTGGAGGCGACTGAGAAATGCTGGTCTGATGGGCATGTGCCTTGGCATGCTGCCTTCTGGAATATAAAGGCAGAGCTGCTCGGTCCTCCCAACCCTGTTTCTCCTTTCCCAGCAACCCTCCTTTCAATAACAAACTCATTCTTTAAACGGTTTGAGCAGAGGTCGTTCCCGCGCCTCCACACAAGGACACCATGCCTCTTCACCAGTACGACTACATCTTTGCCATCGGCACCATCTTCGCGTTCCTGGACGCGTGGAACATTGGTAAGTCTGGCATCTGCTTTGCGATTATGGATTGACCTGGGAAATTTCGCTAATGACTTCAATGACAGGTGCCAACGATGTCGCCAACTCTTGGACTACGTCGGTTTCATCCCGATCCATCAGCAACATCCAGGCCATGGCTCTGGGTTCCATCCTCGAATTCGCCGGTTCCGTCGGTGTCGGTGCCCGTGTCGCTGATACTATCCGTACCAAGGTCGTCGACCCCAAGGCCTTCAAGGACGACCCCGCTCTTCTCATGCTCGGAATGATGACTGCTATCGTCGGCTCTGCTACCTGGCTTACAATCTGCACCAAGATCGGTCTTCCCGTCTCTACCACCCACTCGCTCATGGGTGGTGTCATCGGAATGGGTGTTGCTCTGATTGGTGCCTCTAGGATTACCTGGGTCAACTTCAAGAGCGGCGACATTAGCGGTGGTGTCGTCTCTGTTTTCCTCGCCTGGATCATTGCTCCTTGTCTCTCTGCTGCCTTCGGCGCTATCATCTTCCTTGTCACCAAGTATGCAGTGCTCCTCCGCACCAACTCTGTTATCAAGGGTCTCATTGCTACACCCATCTACTTCTTCACCACCGCTGCCCTCCTTGTCATGCTTATCTGCTGGAAGGGTGGCTCTATCAGTCTTGACCATCTCACCGATGCCGAGGTTGCTGGCATCATTGTGGGTGCCGCCGCTGCCTGGGCTCTGCTCGTCACCATCTTCCTCGTCCCTTGGATGTACCGCATCATCGTTAAGGATGATTGGCAGCTCCGCTGGTGGCACATCGCCTATGGCCCTCTCCTGCTCAAGCGCCCCGAGCCTCCCGCTCAGCCCGAGGGTGCCGCCGGTGGTATCCGTGATTTCTACGCCGGCCACTTGACTGCTGATGAGCTCGACAACCTCCGTCACCGCCGCCCTGATGAGGAGGCTGCTGCTGAGACTCACGCTAAGGAGGGCAAGGAGGCTAACGAGTCTTCTTCCGATGTTGCTGCCCACCCCGCCCCCGCCCGAAACGAGACTCCTGTTGATCAGACTGGCTCCCTTGTTGGCCCCAAGCCCGAGGGTGTCTGGTACAGCGGCCCCGTCCTCTTTTGGTGGATCAAGTGGATCCTTCTCCGTGGTGTTGACCAGGACATCGTCTCCGCCCAGAAGCAGGAGAGCATCCTCACCGGTGATCTTGCTGCTGTCCACGCCGCTGTCCCTCACTACGACAACAAGACTGAGTTCCTGTACACCTTCGTTCAGATCATGACTGCTTGCACTGCCTCATTCACTCACGGTGCCAACGATGTCTCCAACGCTATCGGTCCCTATGCCACTATCTACGAAGTCTGGTCCACTGGCAAGCTCAACACCTCCAAGTCTCAGGTCCCCATCTGGATTCTGTAAGTCAACCAACGCTCTTTGCAGTTGTTTCATCTCTTGCTAACAATGAAATAGCTGCTTCGGTGGTGCAGGTATCGCTCTTGGTATCTGGACTTACGGCTACAACATCATGCGTGTCCTCGGTAACCGCCTGACCCTCCACTCTCCTTCTCGTGGTTTCTCCATGGAGCTTGGCTCCGCCATCACCATCATTGTTGCCACCCGTCTTAGTATGTTGCCTCTGCCTCCCGTCATGAAGTCAAACCTGTACTAACCATTAAAACTACAGAGCTCCCCGTCTCCACCACCCAGTGCATCACGGGTGCCACCGTCGGCGTTGGTCTGTGCTCCGGTACCTGGCGATCCATCAACTGGCGCATGGTCGCCTGGGTCTACATGGGCTGGATCGTCACCCTCCCCGTCGCTGGTATCATCTCTGGCTGCCTCTGCGGTATCATCATCAACGCTCCCCGCTGGGGCTACGATCCCTCCACCCTCTCTTAAGTGGAGCAAGTAGGGCGATGGTCTTGACGACCACCAAGTAATATGCCCCTGCTGGCTTCTTCTTAATGCTGTGTGGAATTGTTAGACTTTTAAAGACGATATTGTGTCTCTCTCTCGGTTACTGCTACAAGGATGTGGACGGTCTCGATGGATATCCTCCAAATGCTCAAATATAATTATATACTACTCACTCAATACGATACCATTTTCTTTTCACAAATTCCAAGAGTATCCAGCCTCAGATTGAAGTGTATGATAACATCGTCGAGCCGGTCCGCTGATTTAGGTAGGTCGATGGCCCTCGGCTGTCATATGAAGCTAGCTCCAGTCTTGCATTATGCAGTTGGTTCGACCCATGTAGCCCAAGGTAGTGGTGGACACGCACCACATCAGCTACGCTGTTGGCTCTAGGGACCCGTAGTCATCTATCGTTTATGGATAGGAGGCTCTCGATTACTTTGCTTCCCCTCGTGCTCGCGTGATTTCTTCATTTTTTCGTGTCGTACTCGCTCACGATAGCGCGTCGTGGAGCCTCAATTTGGATCCAGCACCCACCATCGACCTCCGATATCTCAATACCGGTTTTGATGTACTGACTCTAGGTAACCCTCTACACAAGTATCAGCTAAATATGTCACAATAAAGAGCATAGCGCACGTGCCCAGCCGGAATGCCAGCGATCCGTTTTTCAATCATGGTAGGATGGGTAACCGCCCCCGTTCAAAGCCGTACAAATCGTAGCGGAAGGGCTCTATTCATCTTCAAGAGGCTGGCAAGTTATCCAAGCCACCCAGAAGCGCGTTAAGTGTCTAAACCAAGCCTGGATTGACACTGGGCATTCTGGCTGAGCACGAAACCACTGAGCTCGCCCGGCCAGCTGCCTGGCCGCGATTAATGATCCACCTCAAATTATCTTTTATGGGGGTATCTCATCGTTATTTTCGTTAAATATCCTTTAAAGATACGTTCATTTCATTGTACATCATCATTGTACACCGTCCCGATCCCTCACGTGGATGCAGACCCCTTCACCGTATCCCCATCATCCTCAGCCGCCCCCTCCGCATCACCAGCCTGCGGTCGCGGAGTCGGCTTCCTCGCCTTTCCTCGCCCATATGGATCTGGGGTCGCCGACCCGCCGCCCAGCTTGGGCGTGGCGTTGGACCCCCGCGCCGTGATGAACCCTCCCACGCGCTCCAGGTGGCCCATCACCGTCGAACGACCACCCCCTCCGGCCGTGGTGCCGGGGAGCATCTCCAGCGCCAGACCGTCGCAGAGCGAGACGCTGTGCCGATAGCTCGGCGACATCTCCCTCCTCCGGGACGACGACGACGTCGACGCATCCGCGGCCGGCGGCGCCTCAGCAGCAGCAGCAGCAGCGGCCTCGG